TCGTTATCTCTTGAATAATTCTTACAAGTCCGCGATGAAAATGTGCTATGTCACAACGCAAAATATAATAACAACGCAAAATGTAATCAATTATTTGCTTTTGTTTGAAAATTTTATACTTATTTAAAAAAAAATGAATATCTATTTTAAAATGTGTCTTTTCCCGGGAAAATGTTCTCTCCTATAACTCAATTCTTTTGAAATTCTGAATACATCCTTTCAATCTTTTGTGAAAACTTGTTATGGGATCTTGAAATCCTTTCAACATCAAGAACATGTGTATTTTATCAGAAACACTACAAACTGATCGTATTGAGAAAATCCTTTTTGTATGAACTTGAAAACATAACTTTTAACTGTTTTTTCTGCACGCCAAAAGTTTTACAAAAATATGCCAAAACAAATTTTTATCAGCATATAAGTTATATTTTTATACCCCCGCTTGAAAATCGGGAGGGTATATACATGATATAGTAATCGGGATGTCCGTCCGTTCGTCTATCCGTCCATTGGGGTACCCATCTCTTATCCGCAAATCCTCACATACCATTTGATGAAATTTGATGAGATTTTCACAGAATCTTTCTTACATATTGCCATTGTGCACTTCATATATTACTTTTTAATCCGACACATATTTTGGGTTTCAAATAGCAGAACATGTACACTGCCATTATATTCATATGGGAGGCGAGGGTACGTATCATTTAGTGAGCTCATTGCTCACAGTACCTCTAGTTTAAAATCTTATATATGAGACGTAAACATTTGCTGTGGCCTCCAACTCAACAGTTAAATATTTTGATGACATAATTAATATCAATCAGCAATTGTTTTTTTCCCTTTGTTTGTCGACACGATATATCCTAGCGAGTTTGAAATAACATAACGCATAGTCTGTCACATGTTTCATACTTGGATATTTTACTAGAAAAAGATGTTAATGGTATCCTATCAACAAAGTTTTATGATAAATGTGAAACGGAAATGGTTGTTGGTTAGTTTCGTACAAACGTTAGACCTACGTTTTTGTTTAAAGTCTTAAACACTAAAAAATATTAATTTTTAGATCATACAAGTAGTATGACACTGCCAATGAACTGTAGGCACAGGAAGAGTACAAGTCGTATTAGAGTGCCTTTGATATCTCTCTGGTGATGGTGGTTGGTTTAAAAATCAGCCGTGGGTCGTCTTATATACTGTAGTAAGACCTGGATAAGGCATACAGTTGCGGAGGGCATATAGCTGAGAATCTTCAAGAACCAGAAGCGTAAGACCTGAATAAGGCAGTCACTTGGTTATACAAAGAGAGAGGTGGCATACCACGAATAAAGGTGGGGGAAGTACCAGGAGACTTTCGTAGTGGCAGGGCAAGAAGAAATTTACTTACGGGAGACACCCGTTGACCACAGTTAGTGGTTGTCCAATCAAGGAGAATTCCATTGTATTATTGTATTGTATTTGTATATATTTGATTGTAATTTTATTTGGTCAACAAAAACCTGAGTTAACAGGTTAACGAACCTGAGTGTAACGCCTGGTGATACAAGCCGTATCACCAAACACCAAGCTCGGCCACGTTGCACGTTACAAATGTGATGACTATAACTTTTTAATTGTCAATTTCCCTTTGATATTTAGCAATATACCCTATCACCTACATAATTGAAACAAATTGAACACACCCAGTGAAACCTAATTTTTTTTATAAACAGGGCAGAAGATCTGTTATTGTTAATGTTTACATTTCATCGGTTGTGTTCAATTTGTTAAACTCTGCAGACATCACTGAGCACCGACTGACAATACTGGTGAGTTAATTTAGCTTTCTCACATTTCTACTCTGAATTTCTGGATTATAGTTATATTTTTTTTTCATTAAAACACAACACAGTTTCTACTGTACCTTTGTCTCGCATTATTAAAGGAGAAAGTTTACTTTGTGACAGTGCAAGGATGTGCCGATCAAAGACAGACCAAAATTTGTTGTTTAAATAGTTTCCAGATATTAAAATAAGTTTTTTTTTATTATATTTCTGTGTGAAATGTTATAGCATTATATGTGTGTCATGACTTTGAGAAAAAATAAACTTAAAGGGGCATGGACAGTTTCAGCTAAAATTTCTAAATTTAGCATCTCTTTTATTGACACATGATGTTCAAATTTTTGCTAATCATTAGATGATGCCCTAGTTATAAATTTTAAACATAAAAATTGGTTTAAAAAATTCAGTTGAAACTGTGTCCATGCCCCTTTAAGTTCCAAGTCCCTTAAAAATAAAGAATCAAGGTATATGTAAAAAGAAAGACAACTCCTACAACACTTGAAAGTTGCTTATTTTCTCTCTTAATATATATAATACTCATAATTAACATTATCTATAAATAAAATATGCTATGTATATGTAGTCTGACCTTAAAATCACTTTCTGATGTATAAAAGGAAAGACCATTCTTAATATACATATATTGTAAAATTGTTCACTTGCAGTGAAGTAGACTAAAATCCTTTCTTTTTCAATACAAAAAAAAAAAAAAAAAAAAAGCATGTTTATTTAAATAAAAATATAGTTTAATACAAGTACTCTAACTCCCATTCACATCATTACTCCTGTACAACAAAAAGAAGTGAATAACAGTGCACATATTCATACTGGTGAACTAATCGAGAGTCTATGCATTTTATTTCTTATTTCTTTTAAGCTCTAATAAACTGAAACCACTCCACAGCTCTGTGACACTCCCAGCTGAACAAAATGAAGTCTTCTTGGCAGGATTTTGTAATTCTATTTGTTTCTGAATTTTTGCTTTGTTTGTACATATTTACTATTTTTTATACACATGTCTGTCAATGAAGACCAATCAACTTCTCCACAGGGGGATACCTCCAGTCATCTTCTTCCAGTGTCTTTAGTTTCTGTCTTAGTTGCTTCAACCTTTGTTCATGCATATCTAATAAAAATATGAAAATATATTATATGTCTTTAATTATATTATATGTCTATAATGTCTTTTTTCTACTGTATCTTTAAATATAAATAGATGAAATGCTTAACTGATAAAGTCTTATAAATGATATCAATTTTTAAAGTACTTTTTGCAAATTTGTATAATATAAATTACCTTTTTTTACTGTTTTAAATACATGTTCCATATCATGTTCGATGTGTAATCTTGTCATTAGATTCATTGAAGTATCGTTGTCTGAAAAAATTAACAGTACATTATGTCCTTTAAACGTTTCAAACTTGCATATTATATCAAGTGAAGCAAACATAACAATTGAAAGATTAAGCTAAACAAGTCAGACATAATCTCTTGATTAAGCTATACAGCTTGATTTAGCTGTATAGCATTATTAAGCTATTCAGAATAGCTTAAATAAGCTATTTTATAACATTTTTTTCACAACTCAATGGCAAGTGTGTTATTTTCTAAAAATGTGCCAAAAGTCCCGCCTTGGTGCAGTGGAAATATTAAACTTAGAACTCTTCTGAATACAATACTTGTAAAAATCACTCACCATATTGCATTGCCTTGAGAGACTTTGTACTCAAAGTTTTAAAAGTTTTGAGGTTATTAATGAGTGACCACACAGTAATCTCTTAAATGAAATTATAAATGAGGTCAGTTATGGTCAACAGGATAAATGATTGAAAACAGTTCAGCACAATGAAAAGCAATCATGCTTACCCACGCCTAACTGCGCACAAAGTAATGTACACTGTACAGTTACTCAAACAATGGAAATTCATCTTTTGCCTTAAGTATTCAACAGCTGCAATGTTCAAACTTTCTCTGATTTAGGTTGTATATTGATAGTTTATACTGGCACATATAAATTATATGAATAGTCAAGTCCTTGGGACTTTTTGTTTATTTCTTGCAAAAAAACGTTTTCGTGAAAAACTGCAAATACATAGCTTTATCAAGCTATTTTTGATAGCTTAATAAAGCTTAATAGCTAAATCAAGCAATATAGCTTAATCAAGAGAATGTGCTGGACCTGCAAAAGAAGCTCTATATGGACTGTTTAACAGGTTGGGACCAATCGCCCAAATGGGATATAATGGTCCGTTTGGGATATGATATCCTAAATGGGCTATAAATTTACAGTGCAAAAATTGAAATTTTTAATTTTGGTAATAATTATCATAAATCCGCATCAAAACACTTAAAAAAGAATAACTTTTGTTAAACAAGTTTTATTGCAACCCTGCAGTTTGCAAGATTGATCCCCAAGAAGTTAAGGAACTTCCGAGGGATCAATCTCCTAAAGAATGGGCATACAGGAAAACTTGTCAACCAAAAGTTATTCCTTTTTAAGTGTACTCAGATGTAATCTCAGCGAGATTGGTAGAGACTGAATATTTGGTCTGACGTCTACTACCAATCTCAGACAGGTGCCATACAACGTGATTCGGGATTTTTTGCTCCAACTTCGGCAGCTCGTTTCAATAAATACAGGCTGAAATAAATTATCTGCCCGCCTCAACTTTTTCCTTTGAACATCCCTTAAAGTGTCTATCACTATAAAACTTTCCTTTCTTACCTTTAAAAGGTTTAAATCCAGTAAAATATAAAGTTGTTTATTTTTCCTGACAGCATAATGGCTGTTTGCTATTCATTTAAACCTTCGATTTTGAAGAGTTCCACAATAATCTGTTTCCAATAATTCGTACTACTACTATTTCTTATAAGAATGATCTATAGTACGAATTATTGGAAACAGATTATTGTGGAACTCTTCAAAATCGAAGGTTTAAATGAATAGCAAACAGCCATTATGCTGTCAGGAAAAATAAACAACTTTATATTTTACTGGATTTAAACCTTTTAAAGGTAAGAAAGGAAAGTTTTATAGTGATAGACACTTTAAGGGATGTTCAAAGGAAAAAGTTGAGGCGGGCAGATAATTTATTTCAGCCTGTATTTATTGAAACGAGCTGCCGAAGTCGGCGCAAAAAAGCCCGAATCACGTTGTATGGCACCTGTCTGAGATGGGTAGTAGACGTCAGACCAAATATTCAGTCTCTACCCATCTCGCTGAGATTATACTCAGATGCGGATTTATGATATTTATGGCCAAAATAAAAATTTTCAATTTTTGCACTGTAAATTTATAGCCCATTTGGGATATTATATCCCAAAAGGACTATTATATCCCATTTGGGCGATTGGTCCCAACCTGATGAACGCACAAATTGACTGTGTAACAACAGATGATAAAAGATATACTGATATCTAAAAACAAATTGTCCGCTTAAATGGCTATGATTGTCCGGGAAGTCTTTTTAAATTGTTATATGCTATACACAGTTACCTGCTAACCTGTCACCCTCAACCATAGAGGATCCGGGCCACAATTAAAGGGTGAAGGTCAAATGGCTAAAACGTAGCACATGTAGGAAATTCATATGCCTCCCTTTCAATGATAAAAATAAAAATAGCTCACATGTTTTAGATACTTTTTGGGTATAGAATAAAAGTAGAGTGTCTTAAGTTTACAATGATATGCAGCAAGGTGCATTTCAAGCAAAAAATATGCCTAGAAATATGAATTGAAAAGAGCATTCATTTGGTTTGTTTACACTTTTTTTGCCAAGCGAGAGCTATCCCGAGGTCATGACGTCAGAAGTTTATTAATAACCAGGGAATTCCACATTCAACACCCCTATTTCTGGATGTGAATATTTATCTAACATATTGCTCTATCATGTGGTCAAAGATATTTTGGAAATGAAGATTTTTAAAAAAGTTACAAAGAAAATAAAACACATGTTTTTACTATATAAGTCTATATGTAAGCTAATTGTGGTCCGGGTCCTTATGATGGGGTGTTTGAGGGTTTCCCCTGAATTTATTTTTAAAGATATGACAATGAAATTTTGACAGGAGGTGGGTTATGCATTTTGAAATAGTTTCATAAAATTTTTTTAAAAATATTTAAATATTTTAAAATTAATTTTTATAAAAATTAAAATTTTTTGAGTGATTGAAAAAATATTGAAATTATGCATCCCAGAATGCAATATTTCAGGGGAATTGATATGTCGGTGAAAGAGGTCACATTAGTGCATCCATTGACCACGAAGATAGTTCCTTTTTAAAAATAGAAAAACTGTTTTGTAATGTGTATTTGCATGTGTATTCTTAATAAGGGGTCCCTTTGAAGTCATAGATGAAAGACGAGGTGTTTATTGGAAATGACAGACAAGCTATCCATTGATTTCCCCCACCCAAAATAAGGCGCAATAAGAAGGTGGTGATTGGGCCAATATTTACAATAACATGTGCATGGATTTATTTGCAGGAAACCGCACGTGGAAATGGGATTCAGGCTTTGCCCGACTCATAATTGCACATGCAGGCAGAGGTTGTGTATTGGAGTTTATAATTTCAGGTAAGTGGAAATTATGTTGTGTAAAAATATGTACTTTTCACTAAAATAGAAATGGGGGTTGATGGGTTTGTCATTTCAAGGAAGATGGGGGGGGGGGGGGGGTATAGTTTGTAGTTTTTGACAAAAATATTGATCAGTAAGTAAGTATGTATGTATGTATGTATGTATGGATGGATGTATGTATGTACATGTGTGCGTATGTGTATGATGTGTCTTATGTATTTATGTGGAAGTTTTAGGGTTGTGGCCTGGTGTTAATTTTTACACGTTTCTTATACGACTTTGTATAGTAGGTATCTTTTCGAATAATTTGTTTGGCCCTGAGAAGGGCCGTTTTGTCTTCGTCTTGCCAACTCATGTCTGGTAGTAGGTGTGATCCTCTGGATTGTGTTCCTTGGACTGTAGGTAGGTGGGTTTGGGATCAAGTTGCCCTTTGTTGTAGGTGCATCCGGGTTTGGTCTTTCCTTTTCTAGCCGCCGCATGTTGTTTTATTAGAGTAGCTTTTCTCTGCATTTCTCGCCTTTTAACTGCTTTTCTCTTTCTGTATTCTCTGCGATAGGCATATTCCTGGTCAATGCTTTTTAGGTACTGATGTGTGTGGCCGGACAGTGGCAATGTAATCTTTGCTGCTTTCATTGATGTTGCTAGTCCCGGACTGTTGTTTTGTCGTAAAATCTCAGCTGAGAGGATTCCTTCAGCATTTCTTGAATAGTTGGTGTGCTTAGGTAAAACTTCGCTGACTGCTCTGTTAAGACCCTCACATTTCTGAGTTGACGTGTTGAGTTTCATTTCCTCAATGGCACTTTGGCTAAGTCGCATCTCAAGAATGACTTTTAACAAGTGCTTGTCATTTTCATTCAGGTGCAGGGATGTCAGTTTGTTTGGGGCGAGGATATAAGACTGATTCCACCAGTTGTGTCTGTCTCCACCTTCACACACCACTGAATTCCTTCGACATTTTGAACAGTCTCCTGAGTAGCAGAGGATGGTACTTTCTACGACAAGAGGAAGTTTACTACAGATGATGTTGATGTCTCCAGTGTAGGTATCCATGAGTTTCTTATAGACTAAGCTGCACCGGGCCTTTACATCTTGTGCAAAAACTTTTCTCATGTCGTCTAACCTCCTTCTTGTTTTGCAGGGGAACATCTCGGGGCTGAAGTGGGCACTGCGACACTGCCGGAACTGGGCTCTGCTGACATGGGTTGTGTCGGCCAGTCGAGTGACTTGCCAGTCTGGATGAAAAATTCGCATGGCATCTTGGAATCCCTGGGCTGACCGGGCATCACCGTCTGTTGTGGCGTGCTTCACCTTGAACCCGTCCGCTGCCAGATCTTCGCCTATGGATTTAGCCATCTCGTACTCTGAAAGAGGTGAGAACATTTCAATATTAGCTGTGCAGTCTTCATGACCCCCCGGACAATGAACATCATAACCATTACCTCGAAGCCAGGTTCCAGTCCAGCAAAGTTTGTTCTGCATTGCCGAGCCAATAATATACTGTTTGTCGGTGTTGGTCTCGCATGCAATGGCGTAAGCTTGTGATGCATTGTAGCCTGGCTTTTTGCTGCTACCGAAGGTTATGGAGTTGTAGCGTCCATCTATGGCAATGTCCAGTTCCTCTGGATGTTCTTGACCTTTGACCTGGTTGATGGCCTTAACCAGTTGTCTCTTCTCACCCATGTCTTTTTTATTCAGGGCTAGAGTGGCTGTGTTGACCTGGTTGCTGGCCCTTTGCATGGAACTGCGGTTAGGAGGTGGAATGTCCAAGGCAGCTACCATTTCCCGACTGCGTCGATTCCCCATGGAGGTGTTCTGCAGGGCTAATTGAAAGTTCCAGTTGATACTGGCAGGATTAGGGCCTGGTTTGTTAAAGGTAGGAATTTCAGTGTATAATTTATAGTAATTTGTTTGAAAATTACATACCGTACACAGTAGTCTCTTCTGCCATCCAAACCCCCATTTCCTCTGTCCTGAGTATTCCCACACTGGAAAATTACAGTGCTTGGCCTGGTCAAAGTGGCATTTGGCTGCATCATTAAACATTTCCAAGACCAATGTTATGTCAACAATGCGGTTTCCCTCAAATTCATAAGACGTCTCTTCATTTTTTAGCTCCTGGCATGGCTCAGGTCTGGGACGAAGGATCGGTGTCCTTGAGATGTTTTCCTGGCCTTCAGCAAGGGGATGTGCTGTCTCGGTCTCTGGGGATCCCTGGATGTTTGACGCTGAACTTGAAGCTCCTGCGGCGTTTGACGTAGCCTGATGAGCCTTAATATAATGAGTGTTCCCTTTTTTAAATCCAAAATTAAGATTTTTTCTTCTTTTACGGTCACCTTTCATTGTTTTCATGTGTAGTGAAGAGTGGATTTGAAAGCAAGATTGAATTATGACAATGTTTATTTGGACACTTTTTTAGTGGTATTTACTGCAATATATTCCTTTGACAATCACCTGTCAAAACAGACTCCCATAGGGTATTAAGATTACCTATACAAAGACTCTTAGCCAATCAGCTGCACATGGCCCCTCTTCACAGTCAGGAAAAAGGATATGGGGGTGGGCTTAAAAATCTGTTTATTTTGAATGTTATGTACACTTTTATCAGTAATGTGATACATCATTTGATTTATGAATAAATGTACTTTAAATGTTTACCCCTATTGTCACTCTCAGATTTTCATGATAGATTTTATATTTCTTAATTTAAGAAAATTTTATGAAAATGCAGGGTACAGATCATCAAATTACCTAGAAATCTAAAAATCTTGTATTTTACATATTTAAGAGTGTGTGTGTATTTAAGAGGTATCAACAACTTACTTGTAATAATTAGTTCCTTTTATTGTCTAACAGTTTTTACATATTTCAATTTTAAAATTTCATACTTGCCATTTTTTGCCATTTTCTTTCCTGTATTGCCTTAGTATACACAATATGTAATTTTACATGTACATATCAACCAATTTCAATCAAACTTGGTATATTAGTTAAGTAGTATCTAAGGATTTCAAATATGGCCTTAAAATTTTTTAATGAATTTTATGCCCCCATATAGGATCCGGGCCACAATTAAAGGGTGAAGGTCAAATGGCTAAAACGTAGCACATGTAGGAAATTCATATGCCTCCCTTTCAATGATAAAAATAAAAATAGCTCACATGTTTTAGATACTTTTGGGGTATAGAATAAAAGTAGAGTGTCTTAAGTTTACAATGATATGCAGCAAGGTGCATTTCAAGCAAAAAATATGCCTAGAAATATGAATTGAAAAGAGCATTCATTTGGTTTGTTTACACTTTTTTTGCCAAGCGAGAGCTATCCCGAGGTCATGACGTCAGAAGTTTATTAATAACCAGGGAATTCCACATTCAACACCCCTATTTCTGGATGTGAATATTTATCTAACATATTGCTCTATCATGTGGTCAAAGATATTTTGGAAATGAAGGTTTTTAAAAAAGTTACAAAGAAAATAAAACACATGTTTTTACTATATAAGTCTATATGTAAGCTAATTGTGGTCCGGGTCCATAGGAGATCTAAACAATTTTTTCCTGATTTCTGTTGCATCCTGCGCCATCTTGAAATTACTATTAATATGTCGTACTCGAAACAATTCCATGTAAACTTAATTCAATATAAAAACTGTACTTTGTATTAAGTACTCACATTCCAACTTAAATAAATGTAGACATATCTTATTTTTCAGTAATGTTCTATAATGAATTAACTTCATTCAAAATTATTATACTATTTGGAAAATATAACGAAACAGTTTAGGAACTCCTTAGCTAATTTTCCATTCGGAGCCCCCTTTGTAGAAAAATCTTGATTTCGTGAACGTTTAAAATAGTTAAGAATTGAGCGAAAACGTCAAGAAAGAAATATAAATCTTTCGAGATCCCTCGGACAACTACCTGCTAAGAAGAGATTTTCAAGTTTCCAGGGAGGGTAAGACAGAAAGCAGAGATTCATTTGGTGATCTTTTTTATGTTGTCTTTTTCATTCTTTGCAACGCTTAAAATTCTGAAAGATATGCTTTCAGTATTAGTTTGAAGTTTCTCTTGCAGATTGTTTATGAGATTGGTTCAAGTACTCCATGATACATGTACATTCTGAGTCAGTAAAGTTTTTTTTACAGGTATCAAATGATAACCTAGTCAGAAGTAGCCATGCCAGGCATAAGACAGCTTTTACACTGGGGCCCCATACTGGCACTGTCAGTTATCTTCATCATTACAGTGGTTGGGTTCAAATGCTCTTTAATGTGGTGGCCTGTTCACATGAAAGGAAGTTGGATAAACTTGATGATATATTTCACTTGGTTATTTCTTATTTTGTACAACTACTTCCTAGCAGCATTCAAAGGACCAGGATTTGTACCATTAGGTTGGAAGCCTGTAAGTTATATAATATGTTGACTGTGCGAATGTTAACGCGAGCGCAGATACCTATCCAGTTTTTATTTAAATCAGGCTCATCAAACCGCACGTGACATAAGGTGCGTCTAAGACTCTGACGTCACATGACATCTTATGCATGTTGCTTTACCACACCGAATGCTGAACTGGGCTGATTTTAATGGAGAGTCGTTTTTTTGACTATTTTTCTGCAACAAATTCATTAAATCAAGGCAAGTTTATAATTTTTTAACTTTTGTTCTTATTCTTGCAAGAACGTTGCTTTAGATTTTGTGTTTGAAGCAATGCATTGTGGGTCCAAATTTCTGCCTAAAAAATTTCTATTGAATGAATGTGCAG